CACAACTTTTTAAAACCCAATGCAAATCACACCACATGTATCAAAAGATAATATTGATGAATCTGATTTCCTTAAACAACAAAAATGAGGTACTAGTCGGTAGACTAGACCAACAAAATAGATATAGAGACAAATCAAACTACATTGATGATTATCCAAAGGCAATACTAGTAAGACCAAATTTACTTTACACAACTTTTCTCAACACAATCATTCATCTGCATCTTTGACACAATAAATAATAATCTTTGCTTGTCCTTGGCAATAAAACCATGGTGATCGTTATCGTTTGTACCTGAGGTTGCTTCCTCTAATTTCTTCTCTTATATTAGATCATCGCAAGGATGTTCCATAAGCTGGATGAATTGTGGTTTCATTGGTGAAAGACCAATGTTACAGTTTTTGTTTTGCGTTTGTGTTTTTTTCCGATCTTTTGTAACTTCATCACTATTTCAGAGAAGGTACCAATTTGGCATGTGTCACATCAAAATGTGAACTCCCTATTGTCTTGCTTTTCATGAGCTGCATTCTTTCTCAAGTCATTTGTACTGTCATCTATCAACAAGGATGGTGGATTGTTATCGTTTGTAGCTGATGATCCTTCCTCTAATTTCTCCCCGGATAGCTGATTATCAGAAGGACGTTCCATAGGCTGCATAAGTTTTGATTTCTTTGGTAAAAGACCAATGCTGCAGTTTTTGTCGGGGTTGTGTTCTCTTAAAGCAACCACCTTGCGTTTGTGTTTTTTCCTTGCAAGTGGTCTTTCAAGCCATCTTGACTTATAGTACATACCTGACAAAGTTCAGAATTCCACTTCATAACATTTTTCAGTGGAGCACTGCTTAATGAAGGCTTATCAGCAGCCTCTTCAATTAGAGTTATAGCTTTCCGTTTCGCTCCAAAGAAAATAGTGTCAGGCTTAGCCTGTATCAATGCCAAAATAAGCACTTCTTAGAAATTTAAACACCTCGTAAATGGTTTGCAGATCTTAAAGCATTAAATGAATCTACACTTGTTTTGATTAAGGAAACGTATTTTGGAGTACACTTTCCTGATTTGGCTCAACATTCACTCAGTTGCCATTGATAACATCTAGGAAACAGATGTACTTTCCAAGAATTTACATTCAGCACAAAAAATTACACTAGAGAAAATCTTCTAATTTTAAAACTTTATTCTAGAGATTTTTGAACTGGTTTTACTTGAGTTGAGCATATATCGGAAACAACCTCATCATCTCGTAGGTAGCGTAAGGTTTACATACAGACTATCTTCCCCAATTTACAGAGAAGCTTAAAAGAGGTGATGCACATATCCAGAAATTTAAGAGTTAATAATCATGTCCAACAATAAAGAAGAACACTAACCAGCAAGATTCCGCTAAAGCCAGGGGGCTGTTCTTGAGAAATCTCCACCTTTGGACTTCGATTCAATATTGAAAATTTTGATTCCCCGGAACGGTATCGAAAAGGAACCTCTAAGATCATCTCCTCAAAGGCCTCAGCCTGGTTATTCAATCGATCTCCTTCACACATTGCTTCTTCTCTTTCCATCAGAAATCACACGAGATTTATTAAAGTGCAAGAGGAAGAATAGTACGAAATCATCAAATATATGAAAAATGAGGGAAACCTCTACTTATAGCAAACAAAAAGTAGTATGTTTTCTCTCATTGAAGTTTTTTCCTAAAAAGAACTTCATTACTCATTAACACCTTCTAAACAACAATCCTTCTCTAATTGATGTTTTTTACTAAAAAGAACTTAATTTTTCATTTATACCTTTTAAACTGCATGTTTTCTCTAATTGATATTTTTTTCCTAAAAAGAACTTCATTTTTCATTAATACCTTTTAAATTACACGTTTTCTCTATTTGATGTTTTTTTACTAAAAAGAACTTCGTTTTTCATTAATATCTTTTAAACTGCATGTTTTCTCTAATTGATGTTTTTTCCTAAAAAAGAACTTCATTTTTCATTAACACCTTTTAAATTACACGTTTTCTCTAATTGATGTTTTTTTTACTGAAAAGAACTTTATTTTTCATTAATACCTTTTAAACTGCATGTTTTCTCTAATTGATATTTTTTTCCTAAAAAGAACTTCATTTTTCATTAACATCTTTTAAATTACACGTTTTCTCTAATTGATGTTTTTTTACTAAAAAGAACTTCATTTTTCATTAATACCTTTTAAACTGCATGTTTTCTCTAATTGATGTTTTTTTCCTAAAAAAGAACTTCACTTTTCTTTAACACCTTTTAAATTACATGCTTTCTCTAATTAATATTTTTTTCCTAAAAAGAACTTCTTTTTTCATTAACACCTTTTACATTACATGTTTTCTCTAATTGATGTTTTTTTTTCGTAAAATAGAACTTCATTTCTCATTAACACCTTTTAATAGAATGTTTTCTCTAATTGATGCTTTTCCTAAAAATAGAACTTCATTTTTCATTAACACCTTTTAAATACATGTTTTTTCTAATTGATGTTTTTTTTTTAAAAAAAAGAACTACATTTCTCAGTAACACATTTTTTTTTAAAAAAAAACATATTTTAAGTAATTGATGTTTTTTCCTAAAAAAGAACTTCATTTCTCATTAACACCTTTTTAATTGCATGTCTTCTCTTTCTCTAATTGATATTTTTTCTAAAAAAACTTTATTTCTCATTTACACTTTTTTAAAACTCAACAATATCACATCATAAAGCTTAGCAGTGATTGTTAGGGTTGGACATAAAATATCGAAAATTGAATTGGTGAACCAAAACTTTTGATAATTTGGTATTCAATAATTCGATATTTGGTATGATATTCAGGATTAAACTTTTAGAATTATGGTATTCGAGTTTGAGTTTGGTATGAGACATTAGTATTATTTGGTATTCAGTATTTTTTTTAATTCCGAATTATTTACTTAATGAAAGTCATATATCAACATGTTCATTACTCTTCAGTACAAATCCAAAGAGAGTTAATGAATAAACTGAAATAACTCAAATACATATACATATATATATATATATATATATATAAATTGTATCAATTTGTTTTTCTTAGTGTCTTCTTACTTGTTGATATTCTATTATATCGTGCATCAACTTAAAAAACAGAAATAATTTGAGAAATAATGTTAACTTTGTAATACAATTGTCACGCCCCGAGGCTACACCCTGGGCGGGACTGGCACTCAAGAACCATTTCTGGCTCCAAGCGAACCCTTGGCCTGACTTATTTACTCGGCAGAAGACTTAACTACAAGAAACAGCCTCAAGATATAACTCCTGCAATAACTTAAAGAGATATTAAACTTAGCCAAAATGGCAACTAAAGTTTTAACGTATACAACTGAAAAACGGAAAGACTAAATAACTATAACAACTCATCTATGAAGCCTCTAAAACAAAGATGGAGGTCGGGACAAGACCCCCGATCATCCTAACAACTAAAGTACTAAATCAAAACAAGAAAATAAGGGATCCTCCGGATAGAAAGGAGGCTCACCAACTAACTCTGAGTGCTCAACTGGATCAACGAGGCGCTGGATTCTGACCCTAGTTACATGTGTCTGTATCATAAAATGATGCAAGCCAAATGGCATTAGTACATTGAATGTACGAGTATGCGAGGGAAAAACTAAACATGACATAAGCTGGAAAGGAATATGAAAAGAACACATACCTTGGCTTTACTCAACTCAGGAATAACTCAACTCAAATGCAAAGTAAAAACAACAATAATGGTGCAGTTTATACAAGGCATTTAAAATAGTAGGTAGCAACCCAATTTGTTAAAGAAATGCAATAACAACTCAATTTACATATAAAGTAGTATAATACTATGGGTGTTTCTCTAACCGACAACCATCACTATGAGCCTAAGTGATGATAAAATGTCTCGCCCACACTGCCAGAACTGTCATATACTTTGTTGTCATGTAGAACGCCTCAACTAAGTGGATCCATTGATCTATGCTAAAAAGCACTAAGGATTCATCTAAAAAGTATGATCCTTTCTACCCATGATGGATATATGGTTTATGGAGACTTGATTTATCATGAACTCATGTCCCCATATCGGTGCTCAATACTACTCCCAAAATACACTTATCTCATATGTTTCAAAAACAAAAATATTTCTGTGATTTGAGATAATTACTCAAAAACTTGCTCAAAAGCTCTCTTGGAAATCAGTGTTTCCTCTCTTGTTTAAATGTGAAAACACTTACTCTTTGGGAATACTTAGTTTTCATATACTCTTTTTGAAGAAATGAACTTCATTTGTTACTCTTACTAAACTCAAAATTCAAGTCCTAAAACAAGTTTAAAACATTTGCAAACGACTACTTGAAGTGACTCTAAGAACTTTCTAGACTTGGCTCTTATCTTTCCTTGAATTTTAATTTATGGATTTAAGGTTATGATTCAAGTTTATGGATGATTTCTAGGTGTTTATAAGTCATTTAGAGTACTTAGAATCAATATAGGAAGTGTTAGTACATTTTACAAGAACTTAAATAGGCCAAACGATGAAAAACGGGTTGGGGTGGATAGACCTAGAGCACTGCTGACCTGCCACGCAAGCCCCCAAAGTTCAGAGACCACTTTTTGTTGCACTGCTGGCGCGTCGCCTCAGCCCTCCGGCACAACGGGGGCGCGTCGATCCAGCATTTCCCCAGGCAAATCTAACGAACTTTTGCTCTCATTTTCTGATCTTAATTCAATTAATTTCGATTATTTTTCTCAATATCTCTTTAGATTTAGATACCCAAAACATATACACAAAATCTAACTCAAACAACTCAATATATAAACACTATAATCTCAAGAAACTCCTCAATCTCAACCCAAATTCATGAACGAAAGCAATTCAAGAACACCCATCAAGAACATTCAAACTTCCAATCTTTTTAGGATGAAATCACGGTGAAATAAACATGTTTGGCACGTGGGTGAACGAACCCAACGTTATGAAAGTCTCACATACCTTGTAGGATCAAATCCTTGACGAAATCCGCAATAAATTTCTTACGAAGATGATTGGAAGCTTCAGTTTGGGGCAAAATATTGGGCTAGGAAGCTTATCAAATTTATTTGCGACAATTGACATGTGATTGTATTTCTCGTAAGAGTTTCTTCTTGGGAACTCTTCTGAGTACACATCGTGACTTGCCATAAATATATGCTTTCCCTCAGACGCAATATATTTAGCCACATCACAGACCACATCACGCATTTTGACATAGTTTCTGTTTGAACCTTGGGATAACAAGAAATAATATTCCAATGTTTCTAACAGATAACGCACCCTATTTCTTGCATCATGTAAATCTTTTATTTTCGGAAAGATGCGAAGCCCCATTCCATATCTAAATAATTCTTCAGGACAAATATCATTTTCTTCCTCAAACAAGGAACAAAGCAAAAAGAGGTACTTGGCTTCATTACTTTCCAAGCGTTCATAGGTTAGCCTCAGAGGTCTATACAAACTTGTGGGCACTCCAGGGGTATTTCTTGTTTCTGCACCACGTAATTGTTTAAGGGCATTCTCCCACGAAGGCTTGGTTTTACGCTTTAATGCTCCTGCAATTGTAACAATTGCAAGTGGCAGCCCCTTGCATTCTTTGGCAACCTCTATTGCTGTGCCATGAATAGAAGGATCGTCTACTGAATCACCAGCTTTCTCCTTGAAAAGGAACCATGCTTTCTCCTCAGATAATATTCCAACTTCCATGATCGTCTGAGCTCCCATTGCTTCACAAACGGCTCGGAGACGCGTCGTCAATATCACTTTGCACAGGTAGTTGTGGTTGCTACCACTGGGAATTCCAAGTTTGTTTAGATCATGAAGAGACTCCCAAACATCATCCAAGATTATAAGGTTGCGGCTGTTCTGATCCATTAACCTTGTGCGCAACTGATCTCCACGAATCCCCTGATCATTCCCTTGCAATTTCAAATCTAGTTCTTCTGTGATCTCATCCTGAATCTTTTGTAAGTCTGGTTGTTGACTGATAGTTACCATGACGACATCTTCGAAAAACCTTTCTTGTATCACCTTTTGTCTTATTCTGTCAGCAAGTGTTGTCTTACCAACACAACCCAGACCACATATCCCAATCATAGTGACCCCGTCATCTTTCAAAGCTGCCATGACCTCACCCTCTTTCAATTTTCTGGAGTTCAACTCCTCACCATCGGTAGTGTCTTGACTAGCTTCTTGCTCCTAGGTGCAGAGGACAGTGATGCTTCAGATTTATAATTCAAAATATTGTACAAGGAAGGTGAGAAACATAAATAAGTATGTGAATATTACTATTACTATTAAGTTAAGACGGAAAGAGCTAATTAATTAGTTATACAAGACAAACCTTAGAAGTGAACCTCTGTTGTGTCAATTTATTCAGATCATCTACTTTCACCTCCTTATAATCCAAGTTCACACTTTTGAGACTCAGTGTACTCACACATAATTCCCTGTTGGATAAACGTCTTCATTTCAGGGCATTCACCAATCCTCACTTCTATGAGACATGGAAATTCAAGAGCACACTTTGTCACAAAGAAATGCCTTAGCTTAGGTAGACTATAAAGCTTCAGCTTTTCCAAGAGAGGAAATAAGGGCTTGGTTTCTTGTCCTTGTTGTTTCTCTTCCGTGATCACTTCTTCCATTGATGGACAACGTCCTATCTCTAGTATTCGGAGATTCCGAACACCACTGGCCACTGATGGAGACATCAAGTTTCTCAATTCTCCACAACTCATTACTTTCAATGTTTGAAGTTTGTTGAAGTAGTCAGTTGGAAGTTGGTGAGAGCATAGATCACTTATGCTTGCAAGGTACCGGATGTATAGCTCTTCCAGGTAGGGACAAGAAAGCTGCAAAGTTGAAGTATCCAAGTGCTTAGACACATTTATATATTTTAAACAAGTGAAATATAAAAACTTTTTTGTATATGATCTCGTTTCATATTTTAAAAAGTTTTTTTTTGCTTCTCAAACACATTTATATACTAGTTTTTGGAAACGTGCGTTGCACGTTTGTTCCTTGTATTTACTACAAGATGTCTATATACTTAAAAAAATTGAATTTCAGAATAGAAAATATACTTGTATTGCACGCTACTTAATATAAATATTTGCAAATGATTTAAATACAGTTACAACATGTATAAATAGTTATTCATAAAATTAAGTAATCAAAAGAGAAGGAGTGTAACACCAAATTAGCTAATGAATTCGAAAATAAAATGAAATAGAGTAGACTAAAAACAGTAAAATAGCTAATGAATCTAAAACTTTTACATAACAAAAATTAAAGAGAGAAATAGTTCCAGTTAAAAAGAATACAGGAACTTCCTCAATAACTAACAAAAGCATAAATAGATCTACCTCTTTTTTATTGCATATGTGATGAGCAATTACATCCATCAACAATTATACATTAGAATAACAAAGTGTATGCATTAACATAAAGTGACTGTGCTGAGCAATGTAATTACATCCACCAATAATCATTCATCAATACAGCAGAATAACTAAGTGTATACATTAATATAAAGTGATTTTGAAAATATTTTTTTGGTATGTATAATTACAAGTTTGGAATTATAAAAGTCATTTAAAAATTGATGATATACAAAACATCTATGAGAATTAGATTGGTTAAAGTTGGGATATGTAAAGTTTCTTACTAAAATCTAAATATATGTGCCATATTAAGATGTATGGTAATTCAAAGGACATTTTTTTTCTTTAATGTTAAAGGATATTTCAGTTTTTAAAGGATATAATTTACTACCTTTTGTTTTTACGAAACACTTCATCTCCGAACTCCATTTTAGAATAAAAACAAATTAAATATTCTGTTAATTAATTCTACCTAGAAACATAATGGATTAATACTATATAAGTATTATTTAATATTTTATTAATTAGTTTTTTTTTAATAATAGTTAAATTTAGTAGTAGAAGCGTACATTGCGTTAATTAGCCTTCTGATGATTGCATGAGATATTAGTAGGAACGCCAACATGAAGTTAATATGAAGTGTCAAAAGAGAAGTTTAGAAGTAATGTAAATTATTATTAATAATAATATTAAGACATTAGAACGGAATACAATATCAAGAAAGCTCATAATAGTACTGAAAGAACTATTCCGAATATGATATTAACGCATTGAAGAGTATGGGTCGCTGAAGAATCCATTATGTTTGCATAGGTGTGTCTTCTAAACCTGAGATTTGAAGCAATGTAATGTTTTTAGTATGCATGATCTGTAAATAGTTAATTATCCGTGTTAGAATGGCCATATATGTATATGGAGTTATCGTACCTAAAACTTCCTTATAGACGATGTTCTTTGTGTATGTTCCATTTTGACGTTTGGGTTGCTCTGTTAGGACAAGTACTTTTGTTGTGGACATAGATATCCCTCTTGAGAGTGCAACATACAATTGAGCATGTGAGAAAACATGTTGGGGCAAATACAAACCAACATTTTGAATTGTTTGACCTTGGGCTTTATTTATAGTCATTGCAAAGCAAAGGCGTACCGGGAATTGCTTTCGAATGAATTTAAATGCGTATCCTTCATTTTCTGGTGGTGATAATTGAATTCTAGGAAGAAACACATAATTTGTTGCAAAATGACCACTTGATATTTCCGCTTGCATGACATTTTGGGAGAAGCCTCGACATATCATTCGTGTTCCATTGCATAAGCCACTTGAAGGGTCTAAATTCCTTAGCAACATGATGGGTGCATTTTCCTTCAATTCTAACCTGCATTTAATAAGATATGTCAAAATCTATCCATTTTGATATTTGTTACCGCCTCTTCATGATTGTAACTTGTAATGTATGATCATCAATACCTATGTGGCGGGAGACCGATTGGTGTTAAAGTATATAGATATTCTTCTTGGTAATAGTTGTTGGTGTCATCTTCTGCTAAGTCAAAGCTATTGAATATCTTGCTTTCACCTGGGAACATGGCTATTAACTTGTCATTAAGTTTATCCACATGGTCATTTCTGCTTGCTAAAATAGCTCTTTCAGTGACATATTTTGCCGTAGAAGCATTTTCTTGCATGTTTGGAAATATCTCTTGTATTATGGATTCTTCTGGAAATCCATCCCGAGAATGCTTGACAGTCAACTGTTCATGGAGAAGGATTAAATTGTCTCTTATTGTTGGTTCATCTCCGTTACTCACGCGAAGTAAGAACTCACTGAATGTTGAATTTGTTCTTGCTCTCATATTTCTTGTAAATTGAATCTTCTCCATCAAAGGCCAGAGATATGATTTCACCAAGCTTGCATTTACAATTTCTGCTCTAGTTGATTTTGGAACTACTGGTAACACCTACCGAAAATCTCCTCCAAAAACCATGACTTTTCCACCAAATGGTTTATCGATGTCCATTATATCTCTGAAGCTCCTGTCGACTGTTTCTATTGTTTGTCGTTTGGCTATTGGTGCTTCATCCCATATAATCATTTTTTCTTTTCTAATCAATTTGGCAGCACCACTTTGCTTTGACATGTTTGTCATAGTTGACTCATTTGTTTGAAGGGGGATCTCAAACCTCGAGTGTGTTGTACGTCCTCCTGGTAAGATTGAAGCTGCTACGCCACTGGTTGTTGTTGCCAAACCTATCATACCTCTTTGCCTAACATTGGCAAGCAATGCACGGTATAGGTATGTTTTCCCAGTTCCCCCAGGTCCATCCACAAAGAATATTCCAGTTATTCCAGCATCGATTATTTGCATTATTTTTGTAAAAGCATGATGTTGTTCTGGATTTAATTGTGATTGTGCCTCAAAATCTTCTGTAGGTATCTGCACAAACATTTCTTCATTTATTTCTCTACTTTCTGATGGACCAACTTCGAGCAAATCTTGATATAGTTGAGGAATGTCATATAGGGCTATGCTCTTGCCCATACTTTGCAAACAATTATTAATACTATTTAGGGTAGACTGTAATATAGTATTGTGTGAGTTGCCATATAGCCTGTTGAAATCCTCAGACATATCCTCATAATAAGTATCCGAAAGTTTTCTAATATCCGTTGGGTTACAATGAATCAAAATTGTAGCAAACAAACTTCGGAGAGCTAATGGCATTTTGAAGACAACAGCCTCACTTAAACATTCTGATATGCTGTTGTCGGACTTGAGTAACCCTCTTTCTTTGGCTACTTCTTTGAAGGTCTGACATTGTTTGTCGTTGACCGTGAGTAAGTCATTGAATGACAATGGTCCTCTTACATGGTTTAGTAATAACCGCTCACAATACCTTTCCCCTTCTTGAGGATTAGCTGTACAATATAATCAATATACCTAATTTACATATAGGACATGTACTATAAGTTCAATTCTACGGTTTCCGGCATTGACAATAACACCGACCCATGGTATCATGCTTGCAAGAAATGCTACAGACAAGTTACTGTTATAAATAGTAATGCAACTTGTACCTACTGTAGGATTGAAGATATTGATAATGAGGCGAGGTAAACTTCACAAACAAACAACAAATATTGCTTACTCCACCAGATACATGAAAAATTAATGATTAACTATTGAAATGAGTTTACTATATCACTATCAAATAATTAGTGTCATACTGATTAAATCTTCCAATTTGTTTTAGATATCGGTTAAAGATTGATGTCACTGATGAGGATCAATTTCTAAGGATTACATTGTTTGATGCTGCAAAATACTTTTTGGGTTGTGACGTAAAAGACTATGTTCTCTCTACATCTGAAAAGGTAAATCACTTACTCTATGAAATATTAGCCTATATAAATAACGTTAACCTATTTTAACTGAAAGACTAATATATACGGGTTCCTATTCCACAGAAAGAAGAATCAGAATACTATCGTAAGTTGGTATTGAGTAAGGGGAAAGAATTCAGTAACCTTGTTAAGATTGATCGTAACTTTCCAAATGTTGAGCCAAACATGAATGTGATAGCTATGGAGATACATGAGGTTCCAAAAAAAAATGCAACAGATCAAACCAAGGTTAAAACTTCGATTACAAAACAAAGAAGCAAGAGGATGAAGAAACTAACTGATAATGAAAAAATGAAAGAAATAGTTGTAGACATACCTCATGTTGAAAAAGATATTCCAGCAGTTGAAACTGACATTGAAAGCCCACAAAAAACAAATAGATGGAAGAGGACCAAGAAAATTAAGGAGGCCATTGCAGATGAAAATCCACAGAAAGTGAGGACACATGAGGTTGAAAGGCAGAATGTACCAGATGAAAGTGACGACGAAACCCCACTAATTCAACTACAAAGAAAAGGACCAGGAAGGTTAAAGGAAAAAATCCTTCATGCCATAGCTGATGGAAAAGAAGATCAAAGAGGAAAAAAACTAATATATAGTTGATTTTAAATTTCCTTCTGTTTAACTAACAATGCTTATTATCTCCATAATACTAATATTTAAAACCTACTTTTCTTTTTTCACCGAGCAACTACACCTAAAATCGCTTTTATTTGTAACTTACTTTCTCCTACATCAATGAATTTGGTTAACTGCTTCACTAAACATTCAATGTATGCAATTTAGTACTTTAAAACAAATCAACAACAATCTTCGGCAGCAATCTATATCCTCATACAAATAAAAAGGTATGCATGCATCCTACCCTATATGTATTTCTTAGCTATATATACAGAGAAAAAAGAACAATTCAGAATAATAGGTCTCTATTACCTATATATGCCAAATTAATGACTTCAATTGGCATTAATGATTTCATTATGTTCTAGATCACTGCAAAATTACATATGCTAGATCGGACAAGACAAGAGAAGTGTCACACCAACAATCCAAAATTTGTCCCCATCAAATCAACAATGACACACAACCAACATCAAGGTAAATGTAATATGCTAAGTAGTTATCATAGTTCAAAATAAAATATAACCCTTCTATTCAATTCACTTCACGGGTGATAAAGGTAACTCCATTGCTTCTAGACGTAATGTTGATCAGCAGGCCAAAACAACAATAGATCAGACACAGTATACATGCCAGATCTCGGACAACACCCTAACAAAATCCACCGCTCAACAATGTGTGACTTCTCTATCTCTAAAACACAGTACTTAAGTAACTTACAATTTCATTTGATTTTGCACAAATTAATGTTTTGAAAATCTCTTTTCATGTATATACTAAATATAGTACTCACTTTATCTTATTGTAATAGCCATTGCAAACTATTGTCTTGTCATGCCAAATCCAACAGGTGATAAAGGAAAAAGCATTCCTTCTATCAGTAAATTTGATCAGTATGACAACCACACAAAAAATGAATTGAGCAACACAGGTAAGAACTTACATAATCATGTTAAATTCTACATACATGAGTAGTCTGTACAGCGCGAACATATTTCCATACATACATACATACGTATTACATGGTTTGTCTAAATGGTACAAAAATTGTTGCTCTTATAGAGAAAAGTCAATTGCGAAGCGCATTGCGAAAAGTGAACAAATATATATTAGCAACCCAAACAACAACACATCTAGAAGATGAACATCCACGTTTGAAAAAACAACCTAAAATTAATTGGCTATTTAGAGCATTATCTGAAAAGTCTGAAGCTAGAGGTACATTGAAAAAACCCTATTCATATCTTACATGACTTCATCATTCAATACTTTTATGAAATTAGATTCTTAACATATATCTCTACCCCTATTTATATATGTAGGAACTGTTGCTTACAACTTATCTTTATCATATCTGCACGTGTTAAAAACCGTCCCAGAATGCATTTATTGTGCTACAAAAAGATTGGAACATGAACCTCCAGCATTCTGTTGTGCAAGCGGATATATCAAATTGGCAACCACTGGAGCTCCAACAGAACTATATGAAATGTTTATGGCATCTACTCCAAACGCCATAGAGTTTCGCAAAAATATTCATGCATATAATAGCATCTTTGCTTTTACATCTTTTGGTGTTAACCTGGATAAGGAACTAGCATCTGCAAGAAAAGGAGTGTACACATTCAAGGCACAAGGTCAAATTTATCACGATCTACCATCATTGGTACCGCGTGATAACAATCCCTGTTACTTCCAACTATACTTCTTTGATACAGACAACAAGTTGACCAACAGATTATCAAAGGTGAATGAAGGCATTCTTTCAGACAAAATTGCAAAAAAGATCAAAAAAGTAATGGATGGTAACCCATATGCACAAATTTTTTGCCAATTAAAAGACCAATTAAGTTTCCACAATTTCCAACTTCGTATTGCTGCAAATGCCTCTTTGGATCAACGAGTGTACAACACACCATCGGTAAGTCAAGTAGCAGCAATTTGGATCGATGGAAACAATCCAAATACATCTTTTGATCGAGAAATAATTGTTCATGAGCATTTAGGGTACAAGAATAGAGTAAAACACTATTTCAGTTGTTATGACCCTCTTCAATATCCTTTGCTATTCCCAAGAGGTGAAGGCGGATGGCATCAAGGAATAAGAAAACAGAGCAAAAGACTACCTCACGGAAGAAGTGCTCACTCCCCAATTATAACCAATGATATTCCAACATTCATATCAGCTGATGCAATATTAGCCAACGAGGATCAAGGTAAAATATATCACCTTCTGCCCTCTTATAGTAAAAAATTAGTCACATGATATTCCAACATTTATATCAGCTGATGCAATATTAGCCAACAAGGATTATATCACCTTCTGCCCTCTTATAGTAAAACTTTAGTCACGTTCTTCACAAGTTAGCTACTGATAAAAAAAAACATACACGATATAAAATAGTACTACCAATGACGTACAAAATACAATTATCATAAAATACATTTTTCTATTATACCAATATGCTAACTAACATTAAATAAAAAAAATATAAATATAATTTCTTACACTTGTAGATGTCCGCCGCGAGACAAAGGGAAATGTTTCTTGCAGAGAGTATTATTGTTATAAGCTACAACTACGAGAAACAGAGAGGTCAGTATTACTACTATGTGGAAGATTACTACAACAATTTGTGGTTGACATGTACATAAAATTGGAAACAACAAGGCTAGAATATTTCAGAAAGGAACAATCAAATTTTAGAAGAGAGGTTTATCAAGGTATCGTTGATAGTGTCAGCGCTGGAGAATGCAGGGGAGATAGAATTGGGCAAAGAATACTACTTCCATCATCTTTTATTAGGGGCCCACGAGATATGAAAAAATGATATATGGATGCAATGGCTTTGGTGCAACATTTTGGAAGGCCAGATCTGTTTATAACAATGACGTTAATCATGACTGGATAGAAATCCAATAAGAACTGCGCCCCGGACATACTCCTCAAGATAGACCTGACTTGGTGACAAGAGTATTCAGAGCTAAGTTGCAAGATATAAAAGACCAAATTTTTAAGAAAGAAATATTTGGAATTGTTGTTGCTCATGTATTCGTAGTTGAATTCCAAAAACGAGGACTACCACACGCACACCTCCTTCTCATATTAAAAGAAGGGCACAAGATCAAATCAGGAGATCAGTACGATAGGTTTATCTCAGTAGAGATTCCAAATAAATGTGAGTATCCTATCTTGCATAAATTGGTGCTCAGACATATGATGCATGGTCCATGTGGAAACAAACGTCCAACAAACACATGCATGCAAAATGGACTGTGTAAATATCATTATCCTAGGCCATACAACAACAAATCAATCCAAGCAAAGGATGGATATCCAATTTACAAAAGAAGAATGGATGGAAGAATAGAGACAGGAAAGTAAAACACCTGCAGTGTTTTAAAACCACAAAACAACATTTAACAGAAGTGAATGATTAAAATTTAAAAAAAAACAGTCGCAAAGATAAAAAGGAACTAAAGACTGCATACACTCCAATATATGTTTTCCATCACAGGTTGTTCATATCATCCCGGATAAAACTCTCGACTTGAGCACTATGCATACTTTGACTGAAACGACAAAACAACAACAGTGCACAGATAATGACACAGCATAGAAGATTTCGCGGCATTAGTGCCCAAGAAACTATTGATGGTGTGCGAGCTTAGGATGGCTCAACATGGTGATGGAAAACA